TGTGGGTAATCGGTCCAAAACTTCTTCAGTTGCACTGCGAGCAGCACTGAAAAGGAGCCACAACATAATTTTCAGTTCCTTGGAAAAAGAAGGCAGCAGAAAACCAAAGGAGACCAGAAAAAGTATCATGCATCAAACTTTTCTCAGCCACTTGGCTAATGAACAGAAGTGTCTGCTTTCCAGATTACTTTTTGCAAACTATTACCTCTGTATGCCAAATTTAGGTTCGAGATATTGGAATCCACGCAGAGGGCCTCGAGAGAAACCAGTCACAAACCTAGGGAGAAAAAAAAACCTCTTCCAGTTATAATCCATTCTAGTAACCTATTATTTTTGAAGCTGACCAAGGTAGCTCTAATCAAAGAACTTGGCAGCCAAAATTTATGGAACACAAAAGGACACTAATGAGGGATTATCAAAACAACTAACTTCAAAAATTTCTTCTGATTTTCCGGTGAAAAGCTTTTAAGGACTTCCCAAAACATCTTGATAACATGGTGCTCCTGAACAGAAAAAATAGAAAAGAAAAAAAAAAAAAGATACCAGAATTAGGTAACACAGCATACATAAATAACTGGCTGTTACTAATAGTGGTAGGCACACGAAACTCATAAAATAAAATTTTGCACCATATCTCCACTTCAACTGGAACACAAATGAAAAACCCTAGCATACATGATAACCCCTTTCATCCAGAACCCAAACCAAATAGAGCATGGAAAGGATGAAGAGGGTAGGGTGGAGAAACATCTTACACTATGATAGCCATTTGTATAATTAGTGTGGAGTCGAAGGTCATCAACATCCAAGCTTTGAGGTGGACCTGATATTAGAAGCTGCAAAGAAAACAGATTTGTCAAATATACTGTTGAAGCCCAAAATGACGATGAATGACAGCTGAATGTTTTTGGCATAAAACTTTAGTTAACAATACATAGTCATTCAATAACCTCTTTCAGCATAAATGATCCAGTTGTGCCAACTCATTCTCATAGTCAAACTACTGATGGTAATATAAAAAGATTTTAAGCTTTTACCAGTAAGTTAAGACAAGGTAACCGTTGGCTGCAAAGCAAGCACACCTAACGAGAAAAAAAAAAGGAAAAAAAAAAAAAAACCAAAGGCAAAAACTCCAAGATTAACAATAGATGATCATACCTGCAATTCATGCTCAGTAAACATATTGATCCAATGTTTCTGCATAAGCTCCAGAAGTCCCCCAAGGAAATGAGAACTCTGTTTTCGAATCTGAAATTGATATCATTCATTATGTCAATGAACATATAGGGAGAAGCAGCCGGTAGCATTACTTGAATGAATCAACTACCAAAATTTAAAGATTAGACTACCTGAAAATTCAGACGATAGTTACATACAAGATAAATATATTCAATAACATTATCTTTGGTAACACGTAAATTTTTCCCTCCTGGAACTAGTTCCTCTTCTCTTTGCTCTCCATACTCATTATTCACAATTATAAAGTAGAACTCCAACTCAGAAATGTCCCCTTCATAATTCTGTAAATCAAAGCAGGTTGAAAAATGAAAAATTAGTCCCAAAAATGGAGCATCTTGGAATTAAGGACACAAAAGCATCATGTATGAATCAAGAGCTAAAGGGCAAAAGGAGTGATAAAAATTACCTTCAAAAAGATCAAATGGCGATATAACTCTGGGTCAAAGGAAGACAAGTCGATCAAATAGTTGTACCTAATCAATGAAAGGAGCAAAATGCATATGTTAATGTTAAGGAAAATGATGTGTGCACACCCGGATTCAACATCTGGGTGTGCACACTCCGCACATAAAAAAAAAAAAATGGAAAACACCCTGTTCATTTTTTTTTTTTTTTTTTTATGTGGAGTGTGCACACCCGGGTGTTGAATCCGGGTGTGCACCAATCATGGTCCTAATGTTAATTGCACCATAAATGGTATGGGTAAATAGAGGAGAGAGTATCTTGAAAGCAGTCTTTATCCGATCTAAGATTTTCTGTTTCAAGCCTGTGCAAAATTTACAATATGTTCTTTATGGTGGCCATCATTGATCATTTACGATGTGTTTAAGGAGTCTTTGTTGCAACTAGTAGAAAGGTTGATACAAAGTGTCAGGCTAGTAACTTTTACATTCCTATATCTATTCCAGAATATAAATTTTGTTCACATTTCATTTGTAACAAAAAGTTAAAAGGGAAAACAATAGTCATAGAGAATAAAGCCATCCTTACTTTTGTTTCAATTTGCTAAGGAAGAAATTAGCGAATGGTAAATCTACAAGAATCCCTTCATACATGGCCTGCAGAGAAGACGTGAACCACATCAGGAAGCCACAAAATAAATAAAATTGAGGTAGCACTAGACTTAAAGCTACAAAATAAATAGCTTAAGTAGCAACATGAACTGTAAATTAATGCTACTCGTAGCAGCTCACCCAAAACAATGAGCATACAAGTAGAAGAAGGATTGCATCAAATCTAAGAAGTAATGATTAGCTAAACAGTTTCAAAAAATTCAATAATAATGCAACTCAAATTAGCATACCCTGCCCCTATCCACAGCATTAGTAACTTTTTGAAAGATGTATGTTAGAAAATATCCATAACCATAGATAACTGAGCAGAGAATCCAAAAAAAAAAAAGGAAATGCAATTTTTCTTTTATATTAGCAAGGCCATAAATTTCAGGCAAAATCCACATGCAACAAAGTAGGTAAGAGGATAACTTATGACATATTTCCTGGAAAATTCTAAGGGAAAAAAATTAAGTATTTCCTCTGTTATGTATGATCTTTCATTATGAACCCAAAACCTGGACTTATCTTCCCTGGCATCTCATAAGAATTTACATAATTTGTTAACTGTAACACTGTTATTCCATATTTTTTCCCGAGGATATCAAGTACGATAAATAGAAGTTTCAATGGATGACAAGCCAGATAAACTTGCAGGAAAGTCATTGCAACAACCGAGACAACATACCTTTGCTAGAAAAGTTCCTAGGATATGGAAATTTTGGAGGTGTTGGTCATCAGTTATTCTGGATCTGGGATTTGGATAGAGAAGGTGATCATCTGTCTCCTGGATAACCATGCAAAATGGAATTTCAATCAGACATAGATGAAGACAAAGGTGCAAGTTAACAGCAATGGTGAACAAATTAACATATGCAGATCATAATTAGCAAGAATAAGTGTCAAAATTTTATTTAAGGTAAAGAATGGAAACATAAGTTTTCATTATGCACACCCACAG